ACTACATGGCAATATGTTTGAGTGTTGTACATGAGAGCTGACTTCTGAAACAAATGATGTAGTGAGCTGCATCCCATGTGTTGCAAACAAACCTAACTTAAATTTGACCTTCTGTCAGTCACTGGTTCCCTGTCCTGCATCAGCAGGTGCCGGGGACCACCTGATTGCTTCCTTAGTCCTCATAGCAGCTACACAATGGCTGGTGCAGAGTAAGTGAACAGACTGCAGATAATATTGATACGTTCAGACACCAGTGCACATAGGTTTTCTGCATATATATATTTGCCTCTATTCTATTACTCTCTTGATGTATTAGTAACAAATTAAGGTTTTTTTTCTCTTTGCCTCCTGACTTAGCAAAGGGATGAACTATTTTCAGATCCTGTTAATCTCAGGGATGCATGAAAGCTGATTAATAACCATATGGACGGACTGCGCTATATGATTTTGGAGGGGGGAAAAGTGGTACTTTAGCATGGAAGACAGCAGTGTTCTTTGCTGAGTAAAGGCCCAGTCCAAAGCAGGACATAAGAACCTGCTGAATTTCACTCAAGTGTCTAGATCTTATTAAAGTTAGATCTATGTACCAGAACTACGGTTAAATGCTAGCCTAAATATTTTTCAGAACAGAGAGAACTCAAGCATATTTTGCCACGTTCTTCTAATTTGAGATCTAAGGCATTATTCAGTCTGAGAGAGGAGTGTGATCTCTAGTGTTAGAGTTCATATCCGAGTCATTATATGTACAGTGTAGGTATCAGTGAACTTTTAGTTATGTCAGTTATTAGTAATGTAGAGTAAGTTCTCCACCACAGGATGCCAAAAGACACACGATGCCAGACAGTTCACTAGGTGGACTCTGATGTCAATTACATGCAAAGGTTCATTTCTTGGACACGCTTTTGCATAGGAGCCTCCAAAGAGAGCCACACATTGTCTCCTCCTGTACAGTACCTGCTACAAGGCACATACATACTTGGGACTACTTGGTAAATCAAAATGTGTCACTGAATTAGCAACAGCCTACATAGCATTAGGATTTAGCATATGGCTTTCGTATTTTATTTCTACTAGGTGGGCTGTTCAGCACTGACCAGCTCCATCCATGGAAATAAATGGCTGCAAGATCATGACAACAAACTGCTCAGTAGTAGACTTTGAAGCCTCTCTACATACACTCATCTTGTGCGTACAAACCTTGAACCTGTTTGCTGGAGACTGTGTAAAGCTTGTACCGGGTTCAGCACTGTGGGGCTAGGTGAAGGTGCCTGTAAAGGACTTAGGTGACCAAACTGCAGAGTAGAATTAGCAGTCCTGTCTCAGGCTTCCTGTGCAGCACGGGGCGGACATAGGCACCACCTCCAAAAAGAGTCTGACATGGCCAGTGCAATCTTATTGCCCCCTGGAAATGTCCTTCAGGGCTGATGCAAAGCAATGGACTCTCCAGATTCTTTCAGTGCTAAATAGCTTTCACTATTAAAAAAAAAAAATAATAAAGAATGAACATTGCAGGTACTATCTTCCTTCTCCTGCTTTATAGAATTGGTTAAGAACCTGACCAGAAAGTGCGAGATCCAGGTTTGACTCCAGAGACAGTGAGGTAACCTACCAACTCACCTTCTCACCAGGTGAGGGGCTCTGTCCTTCTCCTCACTCCAACACCTGTTGCCATGTAGCAGCAGCAGTTCCATGTGTACACAGAAATGATCTGCAATTATCTTTGTTGAACCAGGAATATGGACTGGTTGCATGTCTTCCACATGTTGAGCACCTCATCCCTAGCCTAGGCGGTGTTTTTTTTCTTTTTTTAAGTGCTGCAGTGCCTATTTCCTAGGATAAACTTACTAGGTTAAATCCCTCAGGGAACTGAAGATCCATTAGGCTGAGGCATAAACAAAACACTAAGCTGCGCTGATCATATGAGGTGTGTATGGTACCCTCCATCAATTAGCCAGCTGTTGAATAGGGCTGTAGCAATGGCAACTTTGAATATAAGCAACTAGATTTTGCTGAAAGAATATTGCTAGGACTTAGAAAGAGTGCTTATCAATGAAATAACTGAAAAATAATTGTGGCTTTGAAAGTTAATATGGGTGTTTGTCCTTCATCAAGCATTTGACACACCTTGACTCAGCACGGCATTATTTTAGACTTGCACTGTTAAAACACAGTACTGTATGCTGGTTCTCTGATACTACTTGATTTTAGCCTTGTGCGACAAGTTCAGGAATCTTCAGCAGTGGATTTCAACTTATGTCTTATGAAGGATGTCCTCCTACATTTCACTGAGTTAGACCAGGCTAGATACTCATAACAGCACTGTCTGACCTTAAAATCTCTAATGCAGCTATTCCCCACCCTCGGTGTTAGTATTTGACTCAGCAGTTCAGTTTTGGTCCCAGACTTGTACAAGCGTCATTTCCTTTTGACTTCTTGACTCAATTATTGGAGAAGGGCGGAGAGTTTTTGGCTTCTTTGCCATTGTTCGGGCACGTTCAAGTTGATAAAGATCAGTTCTGCTGGGCAAGTTATCAATAGCTCACATGCTAAAGCTTGAGGATATTGAGCAACTTTTTCCAGACTTTCCCTGAGATTCAGTCAGTTAAAAGACTATACATAAAAACCTCAATTGCACATACAAAGAGGAAAGTTTCTTTGATGAAAGCCAGGAATTTAGATCAAAACACAGTTTATTTTCCCAAGGTTGACAGTGAAAGGATAGGAAAAAAAATGCTGGTTTATTAAGACCAGAAATCCATTTCTTGATCTTGAAAGACTGTTTTTTTGTGAGGGAGGGAAGCTGTGCTGTAATGACCAAGATCAGAGAATATTTTTTTTTTTTTTCTTTTGTGTGGAAACACTTCATAGGAGGAGAAAAGCAATAGCAAATTAATATAAAAGAAGCCTGGTACAGCATACAGTCAGTCAAATGTAAACGCTTCAGATCTTAATCTAAATCCTGTGAGCTCTACTCATACAAGTGGTCCATTTATTTCAGCCATATAATTCTTAATGTAAGCAGACTTTAGCCCTTACTCACTAATAGGAATTTTCTATTTCTGGCAAGAGAAGAGAAGTAGTGGACCCCAAATGGGAATGCAGAGTACAACTGCATCGTTAATGAAACATTTACCTTGATCTTTGTGACCTGCGTGCTTGAGGGATTAATAAACACACAGGCTATTTGACTTCAAGGTAATCTAGAGGGGATCCATTACTTAATCTGTATTCTAAAGTGAGTCTATTTTGGGCACTGAGTTTTAATTCACCTATAGCAGTGGTAAGCATAAGCTATCTTTTATTAGGCTTCTTTATGACCCCTGTTGTGAAAGACTTTCAGACAGGCCAGAGCAAGGACAGTCCCTTTTGCTGGTGGGTGATTACAGCACCTGTCGGAGCCCAGCCATAAGTATTCAAGGAAGTCCTAAAGATAGGGTCTGATTTCTTTAACAGTGTCTCCAAATATACATTTAAGAGGCTTCCTCCTGTCTTGAAATTTAAGACCCTAAATAGGCAGTGGAAAAAAGCATAGTCTTTGTAACCTCAGACTTTATACTCTCCTGGTTTATTTTTATTTTGTAAGTGATTCTGTGTTGACTTTCTTTTTCCAAGCCTGTAACTTTTCAGACAGAAATATAATTGATGACAGCTATGCTTCTGTAGCTTGGTGGTATTTTTTCAAGAAAGAGTTAAAGACATATATGATGTAAGGAAGTACTGTTCCAACTTCAGCTTTGGCCAACAGATGATGAAACAAACATGATCAGCAGACAAGCAAGACTATAGCAGCAGGGAAAATATGAATAATAGTAAGAAAACACAAATATTAAGTCCATTACTCTGAGAGGCCCTATTTCAGCAAAATATTCAAGCATGAGTTTCAGATTCATTGACTTGCAACGCACTTGCTGGGTTAGCCCTAAACAGACATTATCTGCCTTATGTCCTTAATGTCAAACACATCAATTGACATAACACATTTTCATTAACTTTCCTGTAATTCTGAGAAAGCTGTTGCATAAAATGGTTAATGTGATTGTCCACAAAAAGCAGTTAGGCAGCAATATATTCTGCCTGTCTGCCTGACTACATCATTTGTCTCAAGAATACCAGAGCAGCCTCCATGCCAGCCAGCTCCTCCATAGCCCAGGGCTTAGGTTAGAAGATTTTACAGCCAGGTGACCTAAATATGCAGAAGTGGTCAGAATCAACTTATGTTCTAATGAATTTCTGAGTCCAGGGTGGAGTCTTGGCTCTGTTAAATTAATGCGTACTTTTGCCACAGACTTAATCTCAGTCAAGCTTTGGCGCTATACACACATGCTCACACGTGCATATATCTATATACACAAATGTAGGAATAATACATTTTTGCCATGGTATTAAGAAGACCTTTTAAAGCAGATGTCTGATTATATAAATATAAATTATAAATATAGTCAGACATCTGTTTAAAAAATTATAAATACATTCAGACATCTGTTTTAAGAATGTCTTTCCAATATTTTTGCAAACATAACTAAGCGACAGAAATGATTCAGGGTGGGATGCAGTCATGACATGGATGGGGGATGAGGAGAGGCTGCCCAGATATTCAGCTGTTCCACTTGCCCATGACCATATGAAGCGAGTGGTGGTCCAAAGCCCCTTCTCCAAGCCGCCCCCCCCCACCCCCCAGGGTAATATGACAGAGTGTCTCATTCAGCAAGCCCAGGCTGCCAAAATAAGATCCTGACACAGACAGCACTTTTTGTGAGGACATTACAAATAGTAGAAAACATCCCTGGTACATTAAGTGTATTTGAATCTTACTTTACATGGAGAAAATACTGCAAAGAGATGTGTTAAGTTGAGCAAGGTGATTCAGTAAGTCCGTGACACAGCCAGAAGCACAGGGTGTATTGCTTGATGCCAAGCTCTATGTTGTAGCCATGTGCACTCCTTATAAGGTCTTATATCAGCAAGTGGTGGCTCTGCTAACGTTTTCTGTACTTCTTTGCAGATGTATTGTGAGAGGTTTATATGTATCCTGAGAATACTTGGAACCACACTCTTTGGGGTGTCCCTCCTGTTGGGAATCACCGCTGCTTACATTGTGGGCTACCAGTTCATCCAAACAGACAACTACTACTTCTCCTTTGGACTCTATGGTGCTATCCTGGCATCACATCTCATCATCCAAAGCCTGTTTGCCTTCCTAGAGCACAGGAAAATGAAGCGGTCACTAGAGACTCCAATCAAGCTGAACAAAACAGTTGCCCTTTGTATTGCTGCCTATCAAGAGGATCCTGACTACTTAAGAAAATGTTTACTTTCTGTGAAAAGATTAACCTACCCTGGAATTAAAGTTGTTATGGTCATTGATGGAAACTCAGAAGATGACGTTTACATGATGGACATTTTTACCGAAATCATGGGTAGGGATAAATCTGCCACTTATATTTGGAGTAATAACTTCCATGACAAAGGTCCGGGTGAAACGGAGGAGTCTCACAGAGAGAGCATGCAACATGTATCTCAGCTGGTCCTGTCCAACAAAAGTGTTTGCATCATGCAGAAATGGGGTGGAAAAAGAGAAGTAATGTACACAGCATTCAAAGCACTGGGGAGAAGCGTGGATTATGTACAGGTAGGTATTAGAGTGCCAGGTCAGTGCCAATTCAAACACACTTTGAAAGAAAGCAGCTTTTGTATATTTTATGCAGCATGTTAGAGGCCATCCTAGTCCCTGATGAACACAGTGCTCCTTTCAGCCTGTTTGGAAACAGCTTGACCGTTAAAAGCATGTTTTGCTACCTTTTAAAATGGTCAATCTATCTGTGAATACGTTAAATCTGTGCACCAGCTACTGGAGAAATCTGAAATCCTTCCCCAGACTTCAGTACTGCTCCCTCATCCAAATGGTTTTGCTCCAGACAAAGCCAGTGGCCTCCTGAAGACCCCATCTCTGCTCCTGTAGGTCAAGATCTCGAGTAAGGTTTTATTTTGTGAGATTGTTAGAGGCCCCATAGGCAAGCAGGCAGACAGGTATTTGGTGGCACTAGGGAATATCTCAAAGCAGTGGTGGAGTCTGTAAAAAAGATGGGGATATTTTAAAGGCTTTGAAGGCCATGCAGAGTATTCAATAAAAGGGTCAATGTGCAACCTTGAAAGAAAGATTTCTTCAGCTAAAGCCTGAAGGAGCTTTTGCTTCATCACTTACAGCTGCATTACCTCATTCACCGCGACTTGGCCTTTAAAGCCCTTATGACACTATTCACTTGAAAATGAATTAGGCTGGGTCCTCTCTCCCTGTTTCCAAAGCAGCAGAGACACATTTCTTTCCAGCTGCCTTGGATCCAGTGAAAGATTTTCTATGGTTTTGCCTTACGCATGGAAGCACTCCTCGCTCCTGCAAACAGCCCTGCTGACATGTGTGGAGGAAGGTGGGTGGGATCAGAGTCTCTGGCTGGACACTGAGATCTCTCCTTATTGATCAAGGCCAGCAAGGCTTATTTGACTAATCCCACTGAATATGAGATGATCTTCCTAATCAACCACCCTCAGCCCTTCCCACCTTCTCTCAACCTCAGAGCATCCAGCGGTCTCCTCCGCTGGAGCAGCAGCTCCCCACAAGATGCTCTCTGCTGGCTCAGGGCAGCTGCATGGCTGAGCCATATGTGTTTCTGGGGTCCATGCCCAGCCTTGAGCGTGTGTCTGTGTCTCTGTGTGTGTGTGTGCACAGCACAGCATCCATGGGCACAGTGTCCAAGGAACGCAGAGAGGCTGCCGGCAGCTGGGCTGACAGCAGCAAGTCCTCAATGCACAGGAGGGGCACAAGCTGAAGAGTGCCAGGAGACACTCTGTTATTGGAGCTGGGAGAGTAAGGTGAAGATTTAAAACCCATCCTCTACCACTTTCAAAATTGAAACTGATTTATTCTCTGAAAACAATGGGTTTAACCTCTCCATTGTCTGCACTTTTGTTCTGTGCTGTGAGGGACTATGATGAGATAAAAATCCTGGTTTTCTTTATTAGCATGGTTTTATAATCACTTTACACAGAAGTATCAGATTGCAGAGAGAGAAGGCAGAGACGAAACAGATTCACTGCAAGTTTCCTCCCTCAGTCCAGCTCTTGCATTTGTTCAGGGAACGTGGAAAAAGTGTTTCTATTACAACAGTTATAGCATAAACTGAGAAAATGGAGAGGTATTTCTGGTCTTTCAGTCAATTAACACTCCTAACCTGGCTCAGGAGTCCCAATGAATGTGTCGGGAACTGTAATGCTGCTGTAAGCAGCCACCAAAGACTACCGTAATGATTGATGCCACAGTCACATCTATATTAGAAATGCAGCACCTTGGTGGCCCTGGCTACTACACAGTCATGATGCAATGCAGCTAAAATGTGACTCTGTTTTACGAATGAATGAAGGTTGAGATGTTTCAAATGGTTCTTTGGGAGTACCCAAGTATATTACTTTAAACAGGCCCGACACTTTAAGGGCTGGGCAACTCGCATTGATGATCAAGCACTTAAAAAAGTGGACCAGTCAACACCATTGCCCACTCCTGAAAATATGGGCGTTCTAGTTCTTAACAGACAGCTTGGGGTTATGGACAGGCAATCATAAGCAGTCAGATCAATGCAGATAACAAGCTGTTGCTCATTAGTGGCATCTCATTAAATACCTGAAACTGCTGTGAAGGCTCATTTCTGTCCTGGAGGAGGCTAGGAGGGTACAAGCAATCAGGTAGAGGAGATAAATTGGCAGATATTGTCCATGCAGAGCTGATCGGGGCAGCTAGAGTGCAATTCATCTTGGCTTTATGGAGGTACCTGTGTGCCACTGGTTATGATGAGTATCTGAACAGCTCAGTTATGGTCAAGTGTCCCTTTCATGCAATTCTGTGACCCAAGGCAGTATTTTCTAGGTCACTCAGCCCTTATGTGGAAAGATGGCATATTGCTCGGCCACTGCTGGCTGGGCAGACCTCAGTGTGTTTTATTAGGGTTCTTAAGTGTCTGTCTTTCTCTGGGCATGTCCTCTTTTCACCTACAAAAACCTCATCCAGATGGAAAATGATGGCTTGTCCCAGAAACCCAGACATGTCCATTGTGCTGGCATGCCCAGGACATATACTGATAATCTGTAAATAAATCCAGTATTTTCGGGCTTCCTCATCTCATATTAGTGATGTTCCTCATAGGCAGGTCTTTCTGCTATAGATAAATGCATCTGATAGGGTGAAGGCTGCTAAGCCATGGCATGGGAGGGAGAACGGAGGGACTGGGGAGGGAGCTGATCCCAGTCCACGCCTCATGGTGACAAGAAATGGGATGAGTATCCTGCCTGGGCAGTGGGTATCTAGCAAACTACAGATTCCCTGTGCAAAACACTCAGTGACAGCTCTGTCCAGAAAGCCCCAGATAAAGATACAGGCACCCTTTCCCCTCTTCAGCAGAATTGTTTTGCTCCCTTTCTGTCACTGAGTGCTGTCACTGATGACAGCTCTCCACCAAAGCTGGAGGTGTACCTTGGCCAGGTTACAAAGGTGCTCCTTGGGATGAGTTGTTTGAGGAGAGGAGTTGGATGCATCGAGTTAGCAAGAGCTGGAGATGCTTGTGGCTTTTACCCTGATGGAAATATGAGAGCTTTTACCACCTTTCTCCTCTCAGCCCTCTCCAAGTGAGCATGGAGGGGGCATGTTGGCAGACAGCTGCATGCAAAGCTATGCAGCCTGTCTATCTCAGGTAACCTCCCCACTCAAGTCTGGTCCATAGCAGAGCCTCAGAATGCTCTCCTTCCCCTTCACAGATCAGACATGAAGGTTTCTGCTCCTCTGGAGAGAGAGGGCTTAGGCTGAATTGAAAGGGTGGATGAAAGGACACCAAAATTAGGATACCCAATAAGAAGCCTCACCAAAATCCAACTTAATATGTTGTTCATGCAGAGCTACTGACTTTTGCCCCTACCATCCCCATCTGAAATCACAGGAATGCAATGTGGGGATGAACTGGAAGAAGTATGAGAAATTTGTAGGGCAGGTTTCAGCCACGCAGAGGGGTGTTTCTGGCACAGCTTCCTCTGCTCCAGTTTCTGGGCGTCTGCAAAATGAGTTTACACACGAGGGGGGCACCGCTTTCAGCAACAGCAGCTGCAACAAGGAGACACCCGCTTGTTTTAAACAAGCTGCAGCCCACGTCATTCTCCTCTGAGCAAACGAAAAACAGGCCAGCCTGTCTGAGCCCTCCTCCTACTCTCCAGGGGAAAGCCAATTCCTAATGCACACAGTGTTTAGTTGACTAGGAGTGTTTGTGTGGTTGAAACGCCTTGTGTGTGTCATCTATTTCTGCCCTGGTCTCGTGGAGTACTGCACTTCGGGACTCGCTCCTTCTGGCCTTACATATTTTTAATAAGAATGCCAGAGAAAAATATCAAATAATTTCTATATATCAAATGTCAAATCCCTGCACTACTAATAACACACCATGCATCTAAAATTAAAAATGAGTTTTTCCTGGAATCCAAAATACATCTCTTACATGAATTGCTGAAACCTTCTGTGAGTGAAAGAACTATTAGGTTTCTTCCCAGACTCCTAGTTGACTTTTTCTTTTTTATAAGAAGTGTCTGGAATTTAACTCCTCGCTCCTTCCCTCATATGGCAGTGGGAAACATTTGAACAGGGTGCTCCAACCATGCAGCCGACGCAGATAAACCCTATGTCAGGGCTCAGCAGGA